CATGCAGAGGGCCTGCATTAGATCTCCAGCTTTGGAGAGAAAATGCCTTCCTCCTGTAACCCTTAAAAATGCACCTTATATCCATGTTGTTAACTTGTACTTCCAGAGATCAGGTCCTACCTATTCGTACTTCCTTTCACTTGTGCTTCAGTTCCCAGTACCCCCTCTCCTTTGTTCCCTTTTCAGTGCCTTCTTTTGCTTTTGTCCACACTTCTTATAAGCATTCCTTTTTTTTTTTTTTTTTTTTTTTTTTTTTTTTTTTTCGAGACAGGGTTTCTCTGTGTTGTAGCTTTGCGCCTTTTCTGGAGCTCACTTGGTAGCCCAGGCTGGCCACCACCGCCTGGCAATACTTTTAAGATAATTGTCTTCCCTGTCAAAATACATGTCTATGCCTTGCCCTCCTCTTCACGTATAAATGTCTTAGAGTACTGGAGAGAGTGCTCTGTCTCCAAAGGACTGTAATTGAAGGCACTAAATTTCTCCACCTTGAAGTCACTGTGGACTCTTTTTTTTTTTTTTTTTTTTTTTGGTTTTTCGAGACAGGGTTTCTCTGTGTAGCTTTGCGCCTTTCCTGGGACTCACTTGGTAGCCCAGGCTGGCCTCAAACTCACAGAGATCCGCCTGGTTCTGCCTCCCGAGTGCTGGGATTAAAGGTGTGCGCCACCAACGCCCGGCTTTACTGTGGACTTCTTAAATATGAAGACTAATCCTTGTTTTCTAATTTGTTGTGTGAAGCTGTTTTCCATTTCCTCTTTGAAATGCTTTTTCTTTTTAACTTCTGTGATATCACTGCTGCCTCTTTTTCATTTTAATAGATTATTTGTTGACTCTATTCTAAGGACCTTCTTGATTTCATTGGCCTTTCCTGTTGATTGTTGAGGATTTTTAATTCTGTGTCATACAGATATAGTTTAGCCTGTCTCAGATTGATTTCATTGTCTATCTCTGCCCACCAACATGTCTCTGTTTTTGGGTTCCCTAACATGGTAAATAAAGGATGGCTCATTTAGCCAATAACTCATATGAGAAACTTGGCATTTTACCTTAAAATATTGCTTTTCAGCAGTTCCAATCAAAAGACCATTGATAATGGTTGAAACTTATTTTCTTCCTGAGTCTACTAATTCTAGGGGCTGTACAAAGTCAGCGTGTTTTCTTAGATACTTTAGATCATCTTTAGGTTACTTAGAATACATGGTTAAAAAATACAAATGCTATATTGTTTAAGGAATGATGACAAGAGAAAAATGTCTACATATTCAATAGAGACACATTCCCTCCTCCCAGATATTTTGGACTGAAGATCTGTAAAACATGAAAGGGTGATGTGAGAATATGAAAGATTTATTGTAGGTGAAATGTTATTGTAAGTGTTTTCTCTTAAATTTTAAGTTTTTGAAGTAGGAATTTGTACTACCTGGTAGTTACTCCAGCCAAAATTCATATAGCTTAAATAGGGTGAGAAATAAAAGTTAGTTCAGATAGTCTGAAAAAGTGCGTTAGTACTAACTAGTTCATCCTCTACCCTACTGAACCATTGAGACAGGAAATAAATTATTGATTGACTCTTAATGTGAGCCTTAACCCATTCTGATAAAATAGAGAACTATTTGCTTAAAGTTGTTTCACACTGAAGGTACCATTTTAAATTGCAAGGATTCTACCATAAAAGTTTCTCTTGATCTGTGAGAATATGTGTGAGGGAAAAGAAATACATTAAATATAGTATAGAAATGAAGAATCTAAGAGAATTGAGTCCAGTGTTCATCTCTGTAGCACAGAGATTCATTTCAGATTAACTAAGCAAAAGCAGTAAGCAAAGAGGCTGACTTGAGATTGATATTCTCACTCTTTAAGTATCCTTCTTCCTGTCCTCTTTTCTAATCCCTCCAGACTTAACATTAGTCCTACTGCATCCTACCTCCATTCTTCCCAACCCCATCTCCATTCCTTTGGTACTCCATATCTTGATGATGACCCAGGATCCCCTCAGTTCTCCTGGCAGCCCCTTTCAGCCTCTCCTTGTAGAATAGCTCTCTACCAGGGAACCACAACTGAGTGGCCCCACAGTCAGCCACATCTTGGTCTTCTGGCACATTTTGAGCCATGTTTTTTCTTTTTATGTTTATGTGTTTATTTTTGTGTGTATATGTAGTTGTGTGTTTGGAGGTAGAGGACAGCTTGGGTTCTGTGCTCAAACTTGGTGGCAAGCACTCTTACCCATCTGGCCAACTTGTGGACTCTAGTATTACGTATGTGTGCATGCATGTATGTACAGATGCCACAGCACATGTGTGGAAGTCAGAATACAACTTTTTGAGTCTTCTGCCAGCCATAGGTTCCAAGTATTAAACTCAGGTATTAGGCTTATGTAGCAAGTGCTTTTACTTGCTGAGCTATTCTGCCAGCCCCACTTTTTAGAATATGTCAACCTACTAGAATAAGCAAAAAATTTGTCACTGCAATATAGTTAATGGAATAATTAGAAAAATATAAGCAAAACTCTTAAAGAAGTATCAAGAAAAATTACAGGCACATAAATTTTGTGAAGTAGTTGAAACTCACAGTAATTTTAAGTAAGAGATATTTCTTTGCTGTTATTTAGAAACTTGTTGGAAACCACTGCAATTAAATAAATAATCCTATTAGGTTGAAAGCTGAAATTTGTGTTAAAGTCTAGTCTTGTATAATATTAGAGGGACCAGCCTTAATATTATACATCCCAGGGGCTCAGGAGAGAGAACTACTAACGGTGAGGACTATTTTCAGGAAATAGAATCTCAGCACACCGAGCTCTATCGTCCACTTGCTTTAATTCCTCTGGCATAACATCTTTTATACACAGCTTAAGTTCTGTTCTCATGTCTAGCTCCTTTCTTGCCTGATTTCTCTCTATACTTATCTATTGATCCCTCTAAGTTCTATCTTAATTCTCTCATCTTAATTCTGCCTCATCTAGGTCCTTTTCAGCTTGTTCTTACCCAGCTAGTACTTCCCCATCTGGCTCTTCCTCATCTTCCATCTCATTCCTCTAGTACTCTCTTCTAGCCCTTCAATCTAGTTCTTCCCCATCTCAGTTGGTTCCTCTCAAGTTCTTACCCGTCTAGTTCTCCCGTACTCTTTTCTCTTCTCTGACTCTCCGTGCCCTGGAAGTCCTGGTTTATAAAGCCAAGCTTCCAGGGTCAAACGGAGGGGTGATGAGAAGCACATTGAGAGGCAATAACCGTTAATTATCATTTGCAACCCCAAAGGGAAGTGACCAGTGGGGAAATGAATAAACTAAAGGCTAAATTCGGGTAATACCTAAGAAGAGGGAATCTTATGTGCTCAACTATAGTCTTAAACGTGATTGGTAGAAAATGTTAAGAGTCTATAAGTTGCTAGGTCAGTGGGAGAAAATAAAACTCTTTTTTTCCTGTGGCTCCTATCTGTCCAAGCTATCTGCCGTTTTTTCTGCAGAGTGGGGGAAAGTGTGCTCAGTCGCTAGGCAACCTGTGTACAGCTAGATGCCTCTGGTGATAGTTAAAGGGAGAACTGGAACCAGAGGTAAGATTTGGGAAAGGAGGAAGTAAAGCTTAATTGGCACATCCTCCAGGCCTTCTCAAACAGGTAGCCTGGATGCTTAAGTCTGTTCTTAGAGAGTACAGAGGTATCTCTGATAAGGTACTTTCCTCCAACTGGGAATGGACCTGGCCAGATGCTGCCAATGATGATAATTACAGGGAGGCTTGAACTGGGGTTCTGGCTGAGCATAGCTGTCAGTGCAGAAGGTTATCTAAATATTCCTAGAAGTGGTTAGGTAAGGAGTTAGCGGTCTATAAAGTTAGTAAGGCTGTAAGAAAGGAGGGCCCGAGCTGAATTGTGTAAAGCTATTACTTAACATCCACCTGACCTAGGTGGTGTCTCCTTGTGGAATTTATCTGAAATCAGGAGACTTTCATGTGGACTGTTATTACTGCTAGTCCTTGAAAGTAGCCAAGGGAGATATCTGATTCCAGAGAAAGCCTTTCCTAAGGCAGTTCTCCAAATACCTGGAATGTGTATGTCCAGAGAGTGATCAGTCCACACTGTTAGCCCTTCTTAGGGAAAAGTCAATTTGGAAAGCTATGAAGGCACACATGATTTTCATAACAGAATACAGCTGATATATAACAAGCCAAGTAACACCAAAAACTCCTTGGGATTTGGCTTCTACTGGAGGAATTCCCTGATTCCTCCAGGTAGTGACTTTGCCGTAACCAGCTGAGTTCTTATGATATATTCCTGCGGCCTGCAGCAGTCTAGCCCACTCACATAGGCTCAAAGGAATAGCTTCTTTCTATAACTGAAAAAGAATTACATGTGCAGGATAAATACTTGGACAAACATGTCCTTTTAAATTATATCTAAGAAAGAACAAGAGCTGGGAGACAGAGTGCTATTTAATGCAAGACTTGTTGGTAATATAACAGATTATATTATTGCTACACAGAATGGAAAGCCATTAAAAAAAAATGGGGTTCAAGTTCAGCACTTTGTACTAATGAAATTATATATATATTTGTTAACCAGAACAATTTTGCTTGTTGGTTTGTTTTTAAATTTTGTTTATATTGTGTGTGTGTGTGTGTGTGTGTGTGTGTGTGTGTGTGTGTGTGTGTGTGTGTGTGTGACATTTGTGCCTTTTGTTCAGGTGCCCAAGGATGCTAGGGTATAGGATCCCCTGGAGCTGGTGTTACAGGCAATAATGAACCACCTACTATGGGTGCTGGACAATTCACTTGAAGAGCAGAAAGTGCTCTTAACCACTTCAGTCTCCAAGAGGACTTTTGAAAAAGAATTTAAAATGTATGATGCCATTTTAATCTTGCAAGTGTCTAGTATTTTTTAACTTAAACATTAATGTGTAAAACCTTAGGAAAACTCATTGTGATGTCTTAAGCAGTTTTAGTAAGATCTTACTAGTTTTCTCATACCGAATTACATGTTCTCTTTTTTCTTTGTTTCTCCTTTTTCTCTAGGAAACTGACTGGACATTCTTTCCACATGGGCTATAGTATGGCAATTTTGAATGGTGTTGTAGCTGCTCTTACTGTGGCATGGTGCCTCATGTAAACCCACAGTAGGGCAATATTGTTGGTGAAAGTCCTGATTGTTTTATAATAACAGAAATGAACATTGCCTACTCAGAAGACTATGAAATGTGATTCAGATACATACGTCGTCATCATTATGGAAGAACTTATAGAACATCATTTCAGATACTAGGCAATGGGAATATCTTAAAAGTATAAGATGTTTACCTCATCTTTTTACTTTTGCTTATGTAGTTTTATAAGTTACAGAAAATATTTTAATGGAAATCAAACTTGGAAACTTGAATACAGGATAATGCCTCCATTTCTATGTATACTCTTTTTTTTTTCTAACAAATGTTGATGTTACTGGTTGAGATAGAAGTATTTCTTATTTATATATTACATTAAAAAAAAACACTGCTAACCTGCTAAACCAGGTTCCCTGTTCAGTGAGACCGTTGCAAGAAAAAGAAGAAAACAATGCCTTTGCTTTTAACATTTTATAGAAACTATATCAGTGTCTTTGATAATCAATAGAATGCAAATGTACATTTATATTTTTTATGGAGTATACCTAGGGGTTTTATATATTTTCATAATATTGAATTTATGTTTTTAAAATGATTACATTTATACCTATATGACTGTAAACTTCATTTCTTAGCTGGTATAACCTGTCCTTTACTAAGTATTTTTTTTTAAAGCATTAAAGCACATTGATTTGAGTTTAAGATTAAGTAAATTTATTTTTTAACAAAAAAATATTGAAAATTCAGGGTAAACTATTTGTCATTATAATGTTAAGAAATTTGAAACTGTTAACCATTTCTATTTTCCACAATTGAAAGTATTTATTTTGATGTATATATTGGGGTGGCAAAACTTGTACTATTTTGTTTTTAGTAAATGAAAACCTGAATGTTTTTTAAGTAGAAAAGGTATTTTGATATTATGTATATGTATATGTAATTAAATTTCAATGTGTATGTTGTAATATAGATATATATATAGTTTTATACTTTTTCTGCTTAAATATTTTGTCATGTTAAGATTTTTTGTTGTTTTCATAGTAATTAAACCTTAACTGTTTCTGTCTTGCTCAATATTCTAAGTGTTTAGAAAGTCAACTCAATTTTAGAAAGTTGAATGATTTACACAGCTCTTTTTCCTGGCTGTAGAAAAACTTAGGTAAGGAAAACATTGTGTATTCTAGCTAAGTGGGAAAAGAGTTTATGTAGTGCATTTGCAGCCCCTGATGAATGCTGGCTTCTAAAAGTCTGATGTTTCCTCTGTATTCTCAAAAATAAGAAAAAAAAGTCATTTCCATTTAATTGGAAATGGCTCATAATTTTCTAATTTAAAATGAGAGATGGAGAGGGACATAGACAGGGTCTTACTAAATACCAATCTAATGGCTTAAGTATTCCATCAGTTATGATTGTTAGAATGATTCTATTGTTTTTTTTTTTATTGGCTCGTTCTCATACAATATATTTGACATTCTTTTCATTGCAGCTCTGTCTAGATTTTCCCCACCTCCCTACCCATCCAACTTCATGTTCTCTCCATCTCAGGAAAAAAAAAGAAATCTTTTTGTTTGTTTGTTTGTTTGTTTGTTTGTTTGTTTGTTTGAATGATTCTATTTTTTACTCTCAGCCTTCTTACCTCCTTTTTTTCTACCCTTTTATCTCTAAAGGACTCATTACAAAAATATGTTCAAATTGTAAAATTACTTTATCTCCTCTCCACCTGTGTATAACTCCATCCCCATTATCATCCCAAGTTAGAATGTCTCCTTCCAAATTCTTTGTGTAATGACTAAGATTAAAGTTTATTAGTCTATTATTCATACACAAGGTAGCCTCATTTATAATGTAGATTAAACAGGACATATAATATACTATTTTGTAAGAACACTATGTCTTATGGACTAGCAGTCTATGGGAAAATGTCTGTTCATTCTCTGTACCTAAGGTTGGGTTTCAGTATATGAGGAAAGTGATTGAGGTTATTTATCTTAGACCAAGCTCTCTCCTGGCCACAGTGATTGCAATAAGAATAGAGGGATCTGATTCAAATCAGCAAATTTCTAGGATTTTTCAGTTTGAAACAAAGATAAGAAACTGAGACAGGAACCCAGGAAATGCTGGCAGTCATGTGAACCGAGCTTAGTAGAAAAAGATAAAGGTGAAATGAATACTGCTAATGATATTCTCCTGGTTCTAGAAAGCTAGTGACAACCTGCCATTCTTGAATCTTGGTTACAATGTTTTGGTATGTTTGTTTCTGCTGTTTACATAGGCTTTTGTCATTTGCACCACAAAGTCAAGATGAAGTCACCTAGCAGTTGGAATCATCCATCTCTATTAGTAATGTCAGACAATCATGTAGTATTATCAATCATGTAGTATTATTTATTTGTAAAGTATACATAGGGTATGAGTGTGCTTATGTCTGATGATTAATTAGTCTCAGGAACTTCAAAGGAGCTTTAGAGTAAAGCTAGATACTCATTTTAGTGTTTCATCAGGAATTTTGTTCCCAAATTGAGCTTTAAATGCTATCACAATTTTGTACTATCAAAACATTAGTCTAGTTTTAGTTTTAAGTTTTTTAATCTTAGTTTCCCAGTTTCTTTACCTGCTAAAGGGAAAAATTAATACTAATCTAAGACATTTCAAACTGAAAACTGAGTACAATAATGTTTGTAGGACCTTGATAAGACAATATAATTTATAATTTTAAATATTTATCAAGATGTGGGCTGAAAACTAATGAACTAAGAATGAAAATCAGTCCAGGCAGTGGTGGTGCACGCCTTTAATTTCAGCACTCGGGAGGCAGAGGTAGGTGGATCTGTGTGAGTTCGAGGCCAGCCTAGGCTACAGTGAGTTCCGGGAAAGGCGCAAAGCTCCACAGAGAAACCCTGTCTCAAAAAAAAACAAAACAAACAAACAAAAAAATGAAAATCAAAAGTTAAAATTTCAGAGTAACCAGAAATATTGGAAATGAAAGGATGTTATTAATCAGTAGAGAGTGGAATATATATATCACTATCAAATACTGATAATGGGTTAGTTAATCATATATAAAAGGTTTTCTCAGTCAATTTTTACATTTCTATTAACTTTCTTGACATGTTAATTAGGATCCTATATCTCAAGTAACAAACCACTTGACTAAGGAAAAGAAAAATTGACATATCTACTTGGCCAGGATCCAAGAAATGTTCAAAGGTAAAGGAAAAAGCACTCAAGTAGCTAAACTCAGTGTGTTCACTAACCCATGGATGCAAACCTAATGAACCAAGTTTATCTTCCTGCAAAAGAAAATGAAGGCCTTTAAAAAGGTTTTATTTTTTATGTTATTTTATTTTTTAATTTTTAATTTTTTTTTTGTCTCACCTTCCTCAGTCAGTTTATGCTGTATGTTTGGAAGCCCTCAATTTGATTCTGTGATGCTGTTACTCTTACTTGGAAGTATTAATGGAGGGAACACAGTGATCTATCTAGAACTCTGAGAGGACTTCCACAACAGACTTCTCTAGTCAATTTCTTCTGCATGTTTTGAGTACCTGATTAGATATGTCTATCACATTTTATACTTTTACTTTGGCTTGCCAGTATACTTAAACTTAATTCAAAACGAACAGTGTGGCTATCATAGATCGTCTCCTTACTGTACAGAGCTCTCTTGAGCTTCCTGATCTTTGTGTTCTCTGCTGAATAAATTCAGACAAGATACATGAGTGCAGAGTTTATTACAGAGTAGTAAGACATGAGAGCAGTCAATGGAACATTGCAGAGGAAAAACTCAAGTCTGGAGTGCAGTTTTTCTTAGGGGTGTTAACTAGTTCATGTTTTAGTCGTATTTAGGTTCCCTTATAAATATATAAACATACATATTGGTATATAAAGTATACGTTTATAAATATATAAAACATAAGGAATATAAGAATATATATTCCTAGATATAACCTGCTTATTCTGATAAACAGACTTGTATGTATGATTTCAGAGCTGACTATTTGGTATTGGATAAACAATTGGTGTGTTCTTCCTGCACAGGAGACTATTCCTGCTCTCAGCTTTCTTTAGTTTCCTGTAGTTATTTCTGTAGGGTTGAAGCCTACATTCACTTTTGCATGCTTATTTTTGTCCTTGTTCATCTCATGTTTAAGTTGTCATGTTGGTAAGACTATGGGTGTAAGTTCTGACATTCCTAGGAGACACAGCATCACAGTAAACTACCCTGTCTTCTGGCTTTTACTCTTCCCTCTTCCACAAAGTTCCATGAGCCTTAGATCTGAGAGTTATTTTGTGGATATATCCATTGTAACTGGGATGAACAGCTTTGCACTTTGATTGCTTGTAGTTTTCTGTAGTGATCTCTGTTACAAAAAGAAGTTTCCTTTACTGGAGACGTACTACACTTAGAAGGACAAGCACTTAGAATGTTAGAGAAAGGGGGAACATTACAACAGACACAAATTCAGAGGATAACAAAGATACATTTTAAAAATCTATAATTGTGGCTGGAGAGATGTCTCGGCTATTAAGAGAACTTGTTCTTGCAGAAGACCTAGGTTTGATTCCTAGCACCCTTGGCTGTTCATAACATAACTCCTCTTTCAAGATGAATATGATATAGGCATTTGTAGCAAAGCATCCATATGGAATATAAAATAAAAATTAAAAATTTTTTTCTTAAAAATCTACACTTCCAAGCTGGGTGGTGGTGACATACACCTTTAATTTCAGCATTCAGAGGTAGGCAGATCTCTGAGTTCAAGACCAGCCTGGTCTACAGAATGAGGTCTAGGACAGCCAGGACTACACAGAGAAAACCTGTTTTGGAAAAAAAAAAAATTTCCCTATACTCCAATACTGCACACCCTCCCCTGGGCTCCACACTAGGGCCCACAGCCCCTGCAGCCTTATGGGAGGCCAGGCTGGTACTAAGGACCCCAGGTAACACACCACCCACTGCCAACTAAACCCCCTTGAGCCTGCCCAGCAATTCCAGACTGCAGTCCCTCCGCAGGGTTCCATATCCTGGTCTAAAACTTCAGAAAAAGACTTAGGCTTTATCAGAAGCCAGGCTGGTTCTACAGACCCTAGTCTTCCAAACCCCCAGAGAGGACACTGTACTGGACCTAAATGAAGACTCACTAGTCACCAGAACCCTTGGCCATTTAGGCCAGAACACCAGAGAGGAAAGAACACCAGAGAAACCAAAGAACAAAACACCCACCCAACAAAGACAAACACAGGAATCAACACATAGACCTACAATCATCCCAAATCCAGATATCAAACACCAGTGTAAGAACATAACAGAAAAGTCAATAAGGCACCACAAGAGCCCAACTAACTATCTTACAATAAACCCAAACAAAACACAGCTGAAGCACAAATTGAGGGCTGAAATCAATAAAACGGAAACAAAACAATACAAAGAACCAATGAAACAGAGTTGGTTCTTCAAAAAAAATCAAAAGATAGACAAACCCTTATCCAAACTAACCAAAAAGCAGAGATACAATGTCCAAATTAACAAAATCAGAAATGAAAGTGGCGGGGGGGGGGGGACATAACAGGCACTGAGGAAATCCAGAGAATCATTAGGTCACACTTTGAAAACCTATACTCCACAAAATTGGAAAATCTAAAAGAAATGAACAATTTTCTGGATACCAAAATTAAATCAAGATCAGATAAACAATTTAAATAGACCTATAACCCCTAAGGAAATAGAAACAGTCATTAAAAATCTCCCAACCAAAAAAAGCCCAGGGCCAGTTGATTTCAGCACAGAATTCTACAAGAATTTCAAAGAGAAGCTAATACCTGAAATTATTCCTGAAATTGTACCACACAATAGAAACAGAAGGAACATTGCCAAGCTCTTTATGAAGCTACAGTTACCCTGATACCCAAACCACACAGATGCATCAAAGAAAGAATTACAGACCAATCTCATGAACATTGATGCAAAAGTACTCAAAAAAAAAAAAAAATACGAGCAAACTGAATCTAAGAACACATCAAAAAATTATCCACCATGATCAAGTCGGCTTCATCCCAAAGATTCAGGGATGGTTCAACTTATGAAAATCTGTCAATGGAATCCACCATATAAATAAGCTGAAAGGAAAAAAAAAACCAATCATCTCATTAGATGCTAAAAAAGCCTTTGACAAAGTCCAACACCCCTTCATGATAAAGGTCTTGGAGAGATCAGGGATACAAGGAACATACCTAAACATATAGGCAATATGCACAAAGCCAATAGCCAACATCAAATTAAATGGAGAGAAATTCAAAATGATTCCACTAAAATCAGGAACAAGACAAGGCTGTCCACTCTCCATATCCAAAATAGTACTCGAAGTTCTAGCTTGAGCAATAAGACAACATGAGATCAAGGGGATACAAATTGGAGAGGAAGAAGTCAAACTTTATCTATTTGCACATGATATGATAGTATACATAAGTGATCTTAAAAATTCTACCAGGGAACAAAAATTCTACCAGGGACTGACCTAGGCACTCTGCACATATGTTACATTTGTGTGGCTTGGTCCTCTTGTGGGACTCCTAACAGCAAGAACAGGAGCTGTCTCTCACTCTTTTACAGGCTTTTGGGAACCCATTCTTCATACTGGGTTGCCTTGCCTAGCTTTAATATATCAAGAGGTGCCTAGTCTTTTTTTTTTTTTTTTTTTTTTTTTTTTTTTTTTTTTGATTTTTTCGAGACAGGGTTTCTCTGTGTAGCTTTGCGCCTTTCCTGGAACTCACTTGGTAGCCCAGGCTGGCCTCGAACTCACAGAGATCCGCCTGGCTCTGCCTCCCGAGTGCTGGGATTAAAGGCGTGCGCCACCACCGCCCGGCAAGAGGTGCCTAGTCTTAATGCAACTTGATATGTCATGTTTTGTTGCTATTCATGGGTAACCTGCCCTTTTCCAAACAGAAATGGAAGAATGGAGGGGGCGGGTAAGGAAAGGGGGGATGGGAGTAGGACTGGAAGAAAAGGAGGTAGGGAAAACTGTGTGTCCATGATGTAAAATAAATTAATTTAAAAAATCTATACTCGACCAAACTGGAAAACCTAAAAGAAATTGATGGTTTTCTTGATAACTCCAAGTGAAATAGAAGCAATATCAAAATCTCCCAACCAACTGACCAAACAACAACAACAAAGCCCACAAGATAACACCTGCAGTGCCAAATTGATTTAATGCAGAATTCTATCATACCTTTAAAGAAGAATTTATGCTTTGAAGAATTAAGTCTTCAAATTATTCCATAAAATAGAAACTCTAGGAACATTTCCTAATCCTTTTGATAAAACCACTATAACTTTAATTGCAAAACTACACAAAGACCCAACAAACAAAGAAACTTATGACCAATATCCTTTAAGAACATAGACGTGAGATTTCTCAATTAGGTACTTGTACACTGAATCCAAGAACACATCAAAAAGATTATTATCATGATCTATGTATCCAGCACAACAAAAGCTAACACTTGGAGTTCCTGAAAGAGAAGAGCAATGACTCATGAAGATTCACGTAGACTCTCTGGGGTTTATGGAGAAAAGAAAGCAACTTTATTTTACAATTTGGTATATTTAAGGAAGAATGGTGTTTCTGGGAGTGTCAGGCTTTATTTAGACCTTTAGAGATCACAAGAGCTTAGAGCTACCTCATGAACACACTTCCCCCCAAAACACACGTAAAAGCATTTTCCTTCTAACTATCAGATTGCCTTGCAGTATCCACAGAGACATGTGAATACCAAGGGGAGGACTGAGTTGCAGATTGTTTCTGAATTTAGGTTTGACCTTGCTGAAAGCTGTACAGTCTGTTTGTGTGCAACACAAGCAAGTTGGCTTCATCCCATGATGCAGGAATGGTTCAATATACATAAATCAATAAATATAATCTACCACATAGACTGAAAAACAAAAACCACATGGTGATCTTACTCAGAGAAAATGCCTTTCACAAAATCCAACATCCCTTCATGATAAAAGTCCTGGAGAAACTAGGGATAAAAGGGACATTCTTAAACATAATAAAGGTGCTTTACAGCAAGCGCACAACCAACATCAACTTAAACACAGAGAAACTGAAAGCATTGCCACTAAAATCAGGAACAAGATAAGGATGTCCACTCTCTCCATACCTGTTCAATAACTAGAATAATAAGAACTGCAGAAGATAAAGGGAATACAAGCGGGAAAGGACAAAGTCAAAGTAAATTTGTAGATAAATATGATTTTATACATAAAATACCCTAAAATTCCACTAGGGAACTTCTATAGCTCATACTTTGAGCAAAGAAAGAATACAAAATTAATATACAAAAATCAATAGCCTTCCAATATACCAATGACAAACATATTGAGAAACAAATCAGGGAAACATTATTTTCACCATAGCCTCAAATGAAGTAATATAAATTATCTTGGATAACTCTAACCAAGCAAGTAATAGACTTGTATAAAGTAAACTTTAAGACATTAAAGAAATAAATTGAAGAAGACACCATATGATGGAAAGATCTCCTGGATTCATGGATCAGTAGGATTAATAGTGTGAAAATGGCCATCCTACCAAAGATGATCTACAGATTTAATGCAATCCTCATCAAAATTTCAACACAATTATTAACAAAATCTGTAAAAAAAAAAAAAAAAAAGGCAATATTCAACTTCACATGGAAACAAGCAATAG